TGTAGCAGCTACAGGATTATCAGAATGCCCATCTTCCACCTTATTGATATTATCATCATTACTACTACTCCTAAAACCATTTTTTAATGCTGGAATTTTTAAGAGTGAATTACTACTATCCAATAATGAATCAAATGAAGTAGAGAATCGATGCAACCTCTCAATATCTTGCAATGTCAGCTCCCTAAAGTAATCCTCCAACTCAGTCCACAGCGCAGAGTTCTTAGACTTCTCAGTAGACCCTTTTCGAGACGACTTGGTTTCCGAATGTGGCCGCTTATGCTTCTTCTTACTATCAGACTGTTTCGACAACAAACCTGCCAGCCCACTAGGAAGTGTGGCAACAGTTTTAGCCAAAACCTCATCAGAATCAAACGGTGACCGCTCCGACAATGCCTTCAAAGCTTGCGAATAAAAGTCTACACCTAAATTAACAGCTCCCAACTTTTCCGGCGAAGTCACCGACGCCGGCACCGGAGAACACGCCGGCGGAGAACTCCGACTAACCGGACACGGCTTCTCCTCCGTTCCACAGCCTCCTTCGGCTCCCCTACCCATCATCTTCCTGCGTCCCTGACATCGGCTATTATCGTTCATCAAATTCCACCACCACTCGGAAATTCCATCTACAAACCCTAACCCTAACCCTAATTTTTCGCCACCTTCTCAATAACAATACAAAAAAATCGAGATTCCTTCCACAAAAATTGAAGAGAGAGAAAGACAGAAGTGAAATCAAAGGAAGAGATTTAACGCGAAGAGGAAGACGAAGAAGAGGATAAGTTTTGCTATTTAGGGTTAGGGTTTCGATTCGATTTGATTTTTATTTTATTTTTTTGGGCGGAATATTTTGTTTTTTCTTCAGAGTTCGATTTCGCTGTCGAAAGGAAGGGCGGAGAAAATAGAGAGAGAAAGTGAGTAATTTTAGAGAGAGAAAGTAAAAGCGGGATTGATGAGAGAGAAAGAACGGCTCGTGTTTTTTTGCGGGGGGCGGGTAGTTTCTCTCAGAGACGTTTTCTTTCAATTTTATTTATATATTTATTTAATAATTAGGGGTGTGATATGATACGGTGGGTTTCATGGTAAGATACAGTGTACCTTTTCGTAAATTGGAGTTCCTAAATTGATATACGTGTCGTCTTTAAATTGGATTAGAGGTCATCATCTTGTAAGAGCATCTAACAGCTGGCTCTTTTTCTTTTTACCGTCGTTATTTTTAGTAACTAACTCACCAAGCGACTATTCCAATTGCGATATAATAAGCAACTACTCCGTAATTAATTACGTAAGTAATTAAGGTGATGTCCTCTCAACAAAAATTAAAAAAAATAATAAAAAATTTAAGGTGATGTTTTAGAACGATTTCCATATAAATAGCTTAAATCAAAACTTATTCCCTATATGCGTCGGATGAAAAAATAATTCCCAAAGATCCAAAGTATTGTCCACCTAGAACCGGATACTAATTAATTTATTTTTATAATTTTTGTAAGTAGTGAAACCAGTAACGTTATTAGCGGTTTAATTAGTAAAATCATTGTTAGTGATTGCAGTTTTACTAAATAGTTAGCGGTTCTTCTTTTAATAATTACACCCTTATATACTCTTCTTTTTCACACTCTCTGTCAACAAAAGTAGTACTAAAAATATTATACAAAGCAGAGCAGCGATCATATGATTCATATCACTCGCTCGACCAACAACAGCTACCGCGTTTCTCGACGAATGGCAGGGAGTACAAGATGAAACTGAAAACAACATCGGCGTTTTTTCTTGAACATAAAACCGCTACCCATGATAGCGATTTTAGTTGTAAAACCGCGATCCGTATTAGCGGCTATAAAGTGTTAAACCGCTATCATTGACAATGGTTTTATACTTTTATGTTGAACTTAGATAAGGAAATTACAAAGCTAGCAAACAAGCCTAGGTGGACAATACATTGGGAATTAGTTTATAAACCAATGCAAAGCACGAATAAATTTTTGTTTTAGCAATTTTCATGGATAACGTTTTGATGTTTTATATCTTTTTTGCTAAATGCCTTTATTTTCATAAATTATAAAACACATTAATTATCAAAATACACATTGTTACGAATCTAACAAGAATCTTGAGTCAAGTTGATAATCAATCTAGATCAATAAAATAAGTTTATATCTCTCAAAGCCTTAATCCCATAAGTGGGGTCAGTTACATGAACCAAAAGTGATTATTCCGTGTAGTCATCGACAAAAATCTTCATCCTCCATCCCTTACGATCGAATGCCTCATCGTCATGCAAATCCATATACTTCATATCCTTTCTAACTCCTTCCAACCAAGTCATTTTCGGTCTCCCTCTCCCTCGTTTAACCCCTCCATGGTCCCACTCTTCCACTCTTCGAATCGGTGCACCTTCGGGTCTTCGTCTTACATGCCCAAATTAACGCAGACGATTTTGCCGTAGTTTGTCTGCAATGCCTGCCACACTTATTTTCTTGCGAATAACCTTATTTCTGATTTTATCTCGTAGAGTGTTCCTGAACATCCACCTTAACATGAGCATTTCTGTAACCTCCATCTTTTTAATGTGCTCCTTCTTAGAAACTCAACATTTTGTACCATAGAGCAACACTGGTCTTACGGAAGAAAATAAGTTTATATCATATTTATATATAAAAAAATAACTACGTAAATTCAAATCAGATCTAATAGGCTATAATAAAGTGCACTCTTCATTTTATTTTGTACTCATAGCTTATTTTACTTACTTCGTATAGTAGTAATGTGTAATGGAAGAAACACCGTACCGTATATTTTCTTTTTAGATTTAGATTACGGAGTATATATTTATGGTAGAGAAAAATTAAAGTTCAAAAGTCAAAACAAAATTCATATATACTTGCAAACATATTTATGGTTGAGAATAATTGTATACATTTACACCATAGATTGAAATAAAATATGTTTTTTTTTTTTTTTTAAAAAAAAAAAATCTAGTTTCCAAATATGTTAAATAGGTCAGTTGGCTCATTCTTTATTTTTCGTAATAACCTCATCAGGTCGCCCATTCTTCACATCTTGTAATTATTTCATTTTCGTTATTGCTCTATTCATCCTCCTCACATTAAAGTCACTACATATGGATGGCACTAGCAGTTTACCACCATTTTATTAAATTTGAAGTCACCGCTACATACAATCAATCTCTCAAACAAATTTCTCTACCACTTCTATATATACAAAACCACATACCGAGTGTGTAAACCTTAAGGGTTGAACAAAACCTATTTTCACATGGCCAATGGACCATACATGTGCCTCACTGTGTCTGAAGTGCCAAAACTCAAGTTGCCTAAACCCAAAGTGCTTGAAGTGCCAAAATCAGAGGTTCTAAAGATACTTGAAGTACCAAACCTCCCAAACTTACATCACTAGAACTACCTAAGCCAGAGGTCCCAAAAGAGTAAGAGAAGCCCGTGATGACTTAATTAATTGCCTAGACAAAATATTTGCTTATAATTAGCATTGGATTAATTTTTTTTAATACTATATTGTATCTGTTTGGGTATTAAGATGGTCCTATCCATTTTAGCTAGGGGTAATCCTACCCCTCCATTTTAGCTTAAGGAGTATCAAATGCCTCAAAAAGATCTAAATAAGCCAAATACAATACATGGGCCTAGTATTGCCCATTCATATGCTACTATATATACCCCTCTTGGGAGCCATGGTATAGAAAGTCTCACTTTTAGTATGTAAGAGGACCATCCACCATTCTTTCCCTAAATGTTCTCAAGTTAGACATTGTTTGACATCTAACTTCGGTGCCAGAGACTCAGCCCCAAGATCCACTTCGAGGCTCGGAATTCATCTTGCATGTTTGTACGTGACTCGGATTCGAGGCCCACAATTTTGTTGCCGAACCAGTTTGGTGTGTCTGTGGGAAAACGAGCACAATAACCTATGAAAATTCACTAATTCATAACTACTGTATTTAGCAAGAAAAATAAGTCGTAAATTCTAACAAAATTAGCTCAAAGATCTAAATTTCTTTTGCTAATGAAAATATATGCCTAAAAAAATGAATAACAAAATCTCCCTATAAAGGTAAAATTTAAAAAGACATCAATTTTAATTTATCCTCATAAAACAATAAAACTAAAATTCAAGCAATTTTTTGATGACAAGACTAAATTTAAGCAGTAAACTCCCACTATTTAAAAAAAAAAAAAAAAAAAAAGAGCTGAGGGTTAAGGAGTGGAGGGATGTTAGTCCCTCTATCTTCCCATACCGGTGTTCGATCCTCACTCCTACCCCTCCTGTGATTTTCTCTTCGTCCTCTCCGTCTCTCCCGCTAACACTTTTCCGGTGAGAAGACAAAAGATGAGTAGAAGCTTGGGAATTCTGGTTAAATTGATGCACGAATCCACAGGTCATATGGTTACTGTTGAGCTCAAAAGCGGTGAGCTTTATCGAGGTACCATTATTGAGTGTGAAGATAACTGGAACTGTCAACTTGATAGCATTACTTTCACTCTCTCATAGGTTTTCCTTTTTTAGGGATTTTTGCAATATGGGGCTTTTATAATTGCTGGCATTAATTTGTTTGTCTTTGAAACAATGGTTCATTGATATTTTAATTTGATACTGTATGTTTTTATGGTTTTGGAATCTGATTATAATGCTATGGTTGATGATGGTGTTTGGAATATAATTGATTTTCATATGAATTGAGAGTTTGCATTTTTTTTTTTTCGAGGAAAAGCAAGAGAGTTTGTAGTTTTGTACTTAAGTTCAAAGAAAAGTATTAATAATGTGAGAGAAATAAGTTAAAATTACTTTTATTTTGTACTTACATTATGGTTTTAATGTGATTTGATTGATTATTGTGATTGATTAGTTTTGGCCTTAGAAATTTCAATATTAAGGGTGTTAATTAGATGAAAAGGTAAGTAAAAAGATTTGGAGGCTATAATCAGTAAATCAAGGAAGTTTAGAGACTGGAGACTTGAATCATGACTGTGTTAGTTGTTCCGTGGAACGAGGTCTACTGTGACTGGTACTTTACACTGGTAATTTCTGCTTAGAATAAGAGCTCGCCAATTGATTTCTTTGGAGCTTTGGTTCTGATCACTCCTTCCGATAGTCAATGACACCTGCACTTTTATAAGAATGAAGCTTTCTTTTGGGTTGGAAATGGTTGCAGGGTCAACATTCAAGACGCTTAAGAGGAAACTTGGAAGTGTTCAAGAATGGGAGGGTATAATATGCGTACTAATATGATCCTAAGTTTGGCAACTTGCTTATTGTAGTGGGTTATTGGGTCATCAAATAACTGTTTTAGGACTCCCACTTTATCTCTCTCACTGATGAGGGCTTTTTTATTCGTAGGATTAAGAAAATATGGCATGATCCGGTTGACAGGCTTGTGTAATTGATGCACGGATCATAACAGTTGGGTGTAGCTGCTTAGCAATTGGGATAGGGAAAGGTTTGGAGAGTTTATCCTAATAGGTGCTTAGATAGTTAGATGAGTTAAAGGACGTTGAGCTGTAGATTGTAGCCAGTACAATAAGGATTTTGGAAAAGATTAGCCATGAAAAGTGATTATGGACTTTCTTGTGATTTTATAGACCAAGGCCTGTTGTGGCTTGATTCTTATGAAGTTATATTCTAGATTTCAAATTGCCTACTGGGAATTTTGTAGACCATGGCCTATCTTGGCTGATGAATTTCCCTGCTAAAAATTTGAGTTGTGTGTCTGATGTTTACTACTTGCTAGGTTCCTTTTTTTTTATTGATTATTCCTTTGGTAGTCAATGTCTCTAGCAAAATAATCAAGGACCAAAAAGTGGCATTTGAAGTTGTAGGTAGTTATTCGCAAAGGTTGCATTCAGGTCATTCAGTCTGGGTCTATTTTGGTCGTTCAATTTCCAAGTCTAGTTCTTGGGGTGGTGGGGAGGGCCGGAGGGATTGCTTTATCTGGGGTTCGTGTAAGTAATATATTTTGTAGGCTGGAAGAGCACTTGTAACTGATGAAAGGAGAATGATGCTTACTTAAAGAAACAAAGAGGGGGGGGGGGGGGGGAGGCTCTGAAGTGTCAAGGGATGGACCTGTGATTAGGATTTTTATGACTTGGTTATTTATTGGTGTGAAAGTGGCTAATTATAAATGTGTGAGCTGGTATGAATAGGATTTTCTGTATTTTTTAATAGCAAAGGATGGGAATTAGTATTAGGGCATGCTAATTACTTCCATAGGTTTTAATGAATTAAGGTACACTTATTACAATCTCTATTCATGAGTTCTGGTTCCCTAATTAAGCTGGAAATGGTGCTGAAATACGTTATTCTCATGCCACTTGTTTTAGAATGATTATTCCTGTTTGGAATTGTTAAAAATTTTATGTGAAGGATTGGCTGGTGAATCATGGAATTTCTTCTTTCTAACATTGATATTTGTCGTTTGATCTGCAGGATGGAAAGATCTCCCAACTTGAGCATGTATTCATTCGAGGCCGCAGAGTCAGGTGAATAACCATCATAATTATCCCCCCTGAGATTGTGTATTTTATATTGTGAGGCTAATCGTTATCTGGAAATTCTTTCAGGTTTATGATTACACCAGATATGCTGAAGAATGCTCCAATGTTTAAACGTCTAGATGCCAGAATTAAGGTTTTTAGCCAATTCTAGTCTGTCACTCTCTTTTAATCTTAGTAATGTCTTCAAGACTATATCACATAATTGATTTTCCATTAAAATTTCTCTCAGTGCAAGCGCACATCACTTGGAGTTGGTTGTGGTCGTGCTGTAGCAATGCGGGCAAAGGTAAGATTCTAATTTTGTTGCCTCACTCTCTCTCTCTCTCTCTCTCTCTCTCTCTCTGTGTGTGTGTGTTTTTTCCCAATGTTTCCGTATGCTAACGTGTCTGGTCATCTTTTCTTTTGTAGGCACAGGCTACTGGCCGTGGTACTGCTGGCAGAGGAGTTGTGCCACCAGTGCGAAGGTAAAAATCTGTCGGATAGCAGGTCCAACTAGTCAACGTTCAGAGTCTTGCTGCATCAGTGTAATTATACGAGGATTTTGGTTTTCAGGCTGAAATTTCTGTTTTGTATCTGAGTATATACCTGAACCCTAGATGTAATTTGATTTCAGAATGGCAATATCTAGCTTATTTGTTCTCAACGTTCTTAAAGTGTTTTCATTTGTCTTGAATAGTTTAATATTCATAGATGAAGGTTTTTGGGTAGTTTATGGAGTTGTTTGGCAATCGGCGGTTAGCTGTTGGCTTGTTTGACTAGGTGGAAGTATTAACTGTATGGATTAACTATTTAAGTTAGTTGTTTAAGCCAACTGTTTACAAAAGTGTTTGGTAAAATTATTTATGGTTGTTAGCACTTTATTAGTGATAAAGTGGGCCAACAAGCCAAAAGTCAATGAAAAAAGCTACTCCTATTAGCTTTTGGCGGAAAAGTTAGTTTAAAAGCCAACAAAAAAGCTAACTACCAAACAGACCAAACTAAAAAGCCAAAAGCTAGACAAAAAGCCAATTGCCAAACACTCCTATATAAATGAACTTGAAACATCTGTCCCAATTTTGTGTACCTCATTTTGTGCTAGTGTGCAACTCTTTCTATTGGTTCATGTTGAAGCATTCTCATTTTTATTATGGAGTAACAAAAAGTGATGGGCATAATAGCATATTATAAGTGCTGCCATAGGAAAGTACAAAGTATGATAGTGAAGGAACATGCATATTCGACTTGTGATTAATGACTCACTATCAATTGGTCTGTATTACCTGACCTAAATTTGAATTGTTCACGAAATAACATAGTAACTTGATCTTGCCTGACTTGAACCAACCTAAAAGCCAATAAATCACACGCTAATTAACAATGGATCCCAATGAAATCCAATGCTACTGAGTACTGACCCTATTTTATTTTATTTTTTATTTAAACGGATTAACAGAATACATTACTTCTTTGAAAAATTTGGTAATCAATAGTTAGTACCCAGCAGTCCAGCATGGGTAAGTTTTTCTAGAAGCCGAATAGTTTGTTACCAAGCAAGGCTAATTTATACAGGCAAAAGCTCATGCATGTGGGCTTTAAGTTGCCTTATGAAAGTTCAATCGGGCAATATATATATAACATATACAGAGTCAAATGTCAGGTATTTGAGGCACTGTGATTCAAATGTGCCAAATTCTGTACCCAAAAGTTTTGTGGAAGCTCTATACATCATACTGTTCACACCCCTCCACAACACAGCAAAAGGAAGGGAACAAAAAGAGAAGCCAGTATCTTATGCAGTATTGAAATATCACTGCAATACATTAGGCAAGGGCTCCGACATAAGAATGTACTGGTGAATTAACCATCATGTAGACTTATCTCCAACGTTGCATTCCCGTCCCTGACTAAGTTAACAAGATGGAAAATGGAGCACAAATCACGGACAGCAAGAACAGTGCAAATTTGTGACGCTTTACACATGATAATCAACATCCTCTTGTGCATTCTTCAAAGTTCTAAAGTTTTTACTTAATTACTCTTTGACGACCAATGACCACGGATCATGTATCCCCTATAGCTTTGATCACTGCTGCTCTCACCAGCACTTTCACCTGCATAACCTGATTTTTAATGGTGCTTCTGCTTTCTTCCTTTTGAGGCTCCACTATCACTGATGCTACCATTTAGAAGTGGGTCATTAATACCACAAATCACTCTCCTTGGGGGTGAAGATGTGATGCAGCTGTCAGCCTTTGTTTTATCTTCAATAGAATATCATTCTATTAGAAAAAAAACATGATAAACGCCCACACATTCAATGTATTTCAGAGGTTTTCTAACGGCAGAAGACCAGGGAACATGCCAAATACCATGGCATGGGAGGGAAGCAAGTTCAACTGTTTTAAATCCATATTCGCCAAAGGAACAATGCACAAGCAAAAATGAAGACCCAACAAACATCAATACTCATTAGATCAGCTCTTCCACATCCCCTTTAATGCCTCTTTTAAGGTGCAGTGGGGTCCAACAGATAACAAGAAGCCAACAACCCACTACTTAAGTTGCAAATCGGTGTCACACTTGGTTATTACTGGCATCATCTTCCACCCTTTCTACAGGCTCGCCCACATCTCCATCCATCATAAGTTTATTCCCATCTGCCTCATTGATCTGGTTACTGAGCTCCCCATCTATTCCTTGTGTCTCCAGTTTAGAGATAGAAACAGGCTCTCCATTGACAAAACCATTATTTTCAAGAGCTTCCCCTACAGGATGATCTGTATCATGCTCCTTGGCAGCTTCAGATCCCTTAGCCTCAGAGGCAAGAGAAATGCTTTGTGTATGCGCATTTGATGCCACTTAACCATCCTCCTGAGGTTTTACATCATCAGAGGAATCCACTTCCATGGCTCTTACAGGCTCTGGAGTTTCATAGCTCATTAGTGAAGCCTGATTAGCTGCTTTCTGAGCCAACTCTTCTGAGTGTTTCTTAGCTTCTATTTCTTCCACTTTTCTGAACTGATCCATGAGCTGCCGGATCCTCTCCAGTTCAGCAACACGATCTCCATAACGTTTCTGTAATGTTTTCTCTACCTCTTTCTGCTTCTGGACTTCTTCCCAAAGGCCCTTGATCCTAAATGAAGCTGCCATATTTTCCTGTCTCTGCAAAGCTAGGAAGCAATCCAATTCAGTCCCAGCAGTATTCATCTGTTTGAATGTGAGCTCGATTTGTGTCTTCAATTTATCAGCCCGCATCTGAAATAAATGAGCTATCACAGCTTAGCATCATCATGGTTACAGATATTACAAATACTACATCTAATGTGCTCTGTATAACAAAATAACTGGTACACAAACACAAAGATGAGCAAAGGCTGGCTGTGGTCTTGACCTATAGTCAGAATGAACCAGCAAGATAATAACTAATAATGGTGAACACCCCATCGGAAAGCAATAAGAAGTAGAGCCATGAAGAGCATGTTACCTCACATGCAAAACCATTTATATGTGATAAATCTGTTTCTATAGACACAAACAAGCTAGAAAAGCATGCCAAAAAATTGTACATTTAAATCTTGTCATAGCCATCATATCCACAATGCTCCAAGAAATTTGCTGGACAAATCTACACTAAACCTTCACATCAAACTTTAGACATAAAAGTAGCAGCTTCACAAAGAAAGTAATGTCTTCTGTCCTAATCTCCCTAATCCATAGTACTTGACTTAGTGTAAAAACAATTCTAAATACAATATATTTCTTGAGAGGATCCAAAGAAATTGGATTACCCTGTAATTTGTCTCTTTGGTTACAATGTGAAGAACTGAAGATACATTGTCCTCTAAAGTAATCTGTTACTTGATTGATTAATAATTTAATATAATACTTTTTTCTTATTTTACAAAAAAGAAATCTATGTATGATCTTTAGATGCATAACATTTTTTTATTGCTAATCAGAAACCAAACCATTTCAATAAAACCTCAAAATTCCAAGGTAAAATGAAGAACTTTGCTGTCAATCTGTCATCATAGTTGTTTGGCATATGTAACATAAAAGAAAACGTGACATTTCACTAGGCAAGTACTACTCATAAAACAGGTCTGGGCTAGGCTTAAGACAGCCAGAAAGTTGATCTTCACTATAAGTACATGAAGTAGAATGTAAAAGGTCAGTGGCTCAATGACACTGTGTTTCAATCTATATGTGATGTCATGCAAATTAAAGTATGAAGTTGCTCAACATATGCTGTCCTTACTGAGCAACCCCAACCCCCTAACTTAACACAAAAAATAAATATAAATTAATAATTGATAAACTGAAACAAACTGTGAATACAGAAATATCATTAAATAGAAATGTAACATAAAAACCAACCTTATAACCATGAGTAAGAACATCAATCTTTTTCTCAAGCCGTTGTGCCTTTTTATTATCATCATCCATCTTCTTCTTAACATTTTCAAATTCATTTTGTAAGGCAGCAAGTTTCTCTACAGTTCCAGCCACACTGGAGAGACCATAAGCATTACGAGTGGGGAAATACATCAAATCATTTAAGCAACTCTTGTGTGCCTCAACAAAATCATCTAAGGTCTCTTCCTGATGTCCCATTGCTACACATAGATACTGCACCTCTTCCTCAATGAATGAACCGGCCTGACATAGAAAATACAAGCCATTAAAACAAAAGAATATGAATTATACATATTTGATAATACTCACAACATTGAACATCAGCAAATGAGGAAACTCGCGCACTTCAATAATATTAGATATATGCAGCAAACAGAATCGTTTCACAAATAATTCACCTACAATAACCAATCTGCTTGAATGTGCACAGTGCAAGGAGCACAAAATATAACTCATGCTTGAGAATGGATAAGGGGGAAGCAAGGGGAGGAATCAGCAATACAATTCCATCATCATACCCATATAAGTGATGCACATGATGCAGATTTTTTATTTTTGAAAGAAGCAGTCATTGATACGATATAAAATCCATATTTTCTCAATGGTTACAGCAATGTACTTTGGCCCTGTTTGGCAAAATGTAGTATCACAGGGGTTGCTGTTAGTTTCTCTGTAGTTGTGGTAGTAGCGGTTAACTGAGAACATGATGTTAGCTGGGAAGATTGATAATTAAAGTATCAGTGTTCAATAAAGTAGCTGTTGACTAGCTGTTAGTTGTTACCGGTAAAAATTATCAACGGCTACTTGCCTACTCTTGCTAGATAAAAGCTACTCCATAATAATTTTAGCTTTGATAAAAGCTACCTCCACGGCTCCACCTAGTTACACTACCCCTGCCACTACATTGCTAAACACTCAAATATTTTATCAAGGAATGGTTTGACTTGATCAAACCACTAAAAGCTACTCAAAAGCTAGTGCCAAAAATGCCCTTAACAGTTTACACAACTTCCAAGTTGGGCATAATTAGAACACAGATTGGACCCATTCGTGTAGCATCTAGAATTTCAATTTATTGCATTGTGTTTAGCCAATTAGCCTGATTGAAAAATAAGTAAACCTACCACCCACAATCAATTTCAAAATATTGACTTTCTCTTCCTGGATAATACTAGACTTTCTGTCAGCCATCAATCACTGAGAACTCTCATACAGTAGTCACTAATGGGACAACAAAACAACACAATG